CCCCAAAACCCCAAAACCCCAAAACCCCAATCTATCTAATTTTATTTTAGCAAGTATTATGAAGCAGCTTAAGTCAAGGTCTCCTTCAGATGGTGCCTCTTCAGAACCAGCAAGCTTCGACCTACTGCAGCATTATGCTCCTGCTTATAACAGACATGGCTACCAGATCATGGACAACAAGCAAAAATGCAAGAAAGGAGATGTTCTCTTAGAAGGGGTGAAAACTTTAGGCAGAAATGAAAGAAGGAACTACACACTCTCAGAGCTACAGAATGACCATAAAGCTCTCAACATCCCTCACCCTAGCTTTGACCTGAACGGTGACGGTGTGGTTTGTAATTTTACCTTATGATTTTATAGCCATCCACGAACTAGCCATTGCTCAAAGGTTTGACAAAGACAAAGATGGAATATTAAATGCTGAAGAGAGAAAATAACTGTCTCAATGCCTTAAAAAACGGGTTTGAAAATAAGTTGGGCTGGAACAAGAACAAACTGGGCACGAAGCTAGGCCAAGCCCAAGCTGTGAAATGCACCAAGATGATCCCAAATAATAATTCTGAGCTTGCTCCAAATTCTCCGTCTGAGAGGAATGGCAATAACTGTGAAAATTTTGACAACCAAGAAGACAAAAGTAGAATGATGAGCATGGATAATAAAAGCATTTGAGAGCACACTCGAAAGCTCATAGAGAAAAAGTATATGTCACCTATGATCTTTGACAACAAGCGAGTCCACTCAAGGAGATATAGTCAATACGAAGCAAGTGAAACCCAAAAATTTGAGAATAAGAAACTTGAGTTCAATGATTCTTGTAACAATAAACTTAATAAGGCAATCAATAAAGGTAAGCTTTTATGACCATGAGCTCATGTACATTCTCTAAGTTTTCAAATCGCAAACATATTTAGAAATTCCAAAATTTGTGCCAAAGGAAAACATCCTATCCTCGATTGATAGGCTAAATAACCGAGAGAATGCTATCTACAGAGAAAGAGAATCTCCTCCAGCCACTAGGAGGACTTACCACTCTTTAAAGAAAGACAGGAAGACTCAGATGATTAAGGAGTTAGAAAAGCTAGGAAATGGTATCAGGCCTGGAATCCACAAGGTCAACATCCCATTCAAAAATATTCTCGTATGAGCACATTCCTAAAATATAGAGAAGAAGTAAGAAGATCGTTGAAAACACAACTCCCAAAGAAAGTGAGAATTCCCATAAGAGATTATGGGAGAACAGGAAGTTTATTAATCTGAGCCACGACCCTAATATTGACCAATTAGAATATGAACCACCCAAAGATATTTTCAAGGATTTCAGGTCATTTATTAAACCTGATAACCATATTGCTTCAAAAATTACAGAGAAGATGCAGGAGAAGGGCTTAAAATATTCATTCGACCAGAGGAATAATGTCACCTTAGGTATAGTAAACAACTAACATTACTTTAGGTGGTCGGAAAACCAACCCTGGTCGGTAAGAGCCTTATTATGGCTAATGGATAACATTCTCTTAGGTTCGCATCGAACCAGCTCTCTTTCAGAACCAAAAATGGTACGAAGGATTATGACCTCTAGATGAAAGGATTTTCAACCAGTATCCTGAAATCCCTCCAAGCGAGAAAGATTTTGAGCCTGTGCCTTCTTCTTTTATCAGTTTTGCTGATAAAAGTCAGAAGGGGAATCACTCAACTATTTTTGATCTCAGATCGAAGTTTACTGTCGATAAAACTTCACAAAATGATAGGCATAACAAAAGTGTGAGTTTTAGACAAGACACCGTGATAAGGTACAACCGTTTTAACTCCCTTAAGGAAAATCTCAGGTACAAGAGAAGCTCAAAGGCAGGAAAGAATGCCTCATTGCCTGTTAGCCCTGCAAGGTCCCCAAGGGGGACCTTGGACCTCACAATGAACAGTGACACAAAGGTATCTTTTGCTGATGCTACTTCATACGGAGTGAGATCTTCTGGATTTAGTTAAACATACCAGCAACTTTTCAAGAATATCTAAGCTATTTGGGGTTTTGGGGTTTTGGGGTTTTGGGG